GCAGCCGAGCTGACGGACACTCCGCGCCAAGGGACGCTCATTGTTGCGGTTGTTCTTCGAGTCTTTTTTCCTCTTGAGGAGCGTTGTCTGCGTAGCTAGTTCTCTTTGATGACGACGACGACTCCAACGTCTACGTTGCGACAAAAAGGCGAGCTGTCCGAGTTTCGAAATGAGCAAAGCGAGATCTGTCAAAGACTGCGTCTAGAATTCTCGTAAAAAAAGACCTCAATGTCGAAAAGCGCGCAATAGACGGTTTCGTTGGTGCTATGTCTTGTTGACCTGGGAGGTTTGCGTAAGTCGCCAGCACTTTTCCCAATGACACGCAAATGAAGAAGCCAGCCTGGGCGTTTAAACTCCCGGGTAAGGGTAAGGTTATGTAAGGTAAATGGTAAAATAGACAGAAAGGAACAACAACGGATCAAAGCTGTTTCTTGAAGTTTAAGCTCTCAATTAGAAGGGAAAAGAGGTGGTGGTGGCGTGTGGTAGGTAGAAGAGGGCAGACAAGGCGAGGCAGATCCCGCGTGGAATGAGGGCCGGGTCGATCTGTTTCATGCGTACGGGGTTGCAGACATGGAACCAAAGCATCGCCAGCACATGCACACCCAGGCAAGCCGCAAAATAGAGAGAAACACACACAGGAAAGAGAGGATCCACGCACGTACCGCGTTTTCTATGGGAAGTCCCTTATTTGCTGCGCTGTTCCAACTGTTCAGCCCGTAAGGTAAAGTAGGCACTTGGTTCCTCCAAAAGTCCGTTCTTGGGTTGTCCCTTCAGACAAGGGGCCGTGGGGTGGTGAGTTTTGGCTGTCGGAGACCACAGATGGGCGAGACGATGGAGAACGGAGTTGGGATGAGACGAGACGCGACGGGATGCCGGGGGTTGTTGGGAGAAGGGGTGAGTGAAGTTCTTCAAACGACGAACCCGGCTTTTGTTATATTCTGATTTTATCTCAACCGGAAGAGAAAGATATGAAGAGTACCGTATTGTTGTCAACTCTGGGTTGGTGAATCTGAGAAAGAAGATCTGAGATGTTATCTCTGATGAAAGTCGATGAAGCAACCACACGCTAAAAGCACGTGGCATCCGAGGTCAATGGAGTGAGCAAGGGTGGTGGAGGAGGAGGACGTTCCCCTACTAAAGTAAAGAAGCAAACGAGATGGGATGCTGGGGAACGGAGCTGGAGTGATGACAATGAGCCGGTCTGCCGTTGGTTGCAAGCTGCTCTGCCCCCCTCCAAAAGAGCCCCTAGCGGATTTCTTGGCTTCGTTCTGCAGCTCGGTGGAGAGAGAAAGAGAGCTCGGCTCGATTGCTTGACAAGGGAGCTAGATAGTTGTACGTATTTCGTTGCCTTTTTTCGTCTTTCTTCCTCCTCCGTCTTGGTATCCGTAGGCGATTCATGGTGTATACGGTATGCCACCTCAGCATCCCGACTCCGTCTTACTCTCTCTACCTTCGAATATGTTCTCTGCAGTACGCCCGGGATTCAGAAGTTCATCCGCAAAAAGGCAGCAGCACCACGTTCGACGAATCGGCACATGACCCGCGACTGGTGGTTGTTCAAAAAAAGGTGGGATGGTAGGGGGAGGGGTGCTATGGATGATGAGTACACTACATTTTGATGGAGACACCAGGCTCGAATTGAATGCCATTCTCGTCCTAGCTCGCCGTGGATTGGTTGTGTCGTGTCTTGGAAACCGAAAAGGCCCAGCTCCAGCTTGCCTAGATATCTGGAAGAAGTTTAGAAGGGGAACTAAAAGTCCGGGACGGGATTTGAGGGGGGTCCCTGGCCATCGTCCCAGTCCAACGGGCTTCTGGGATGATTTGTTTGCCCGATCCCACCCTTCTTCGTTCGCTTGCTGTTCTTTTCTTCTTCTACCGTGCTAGGAAAATCCGGCGGGATGTTGCCGCCTTGGAAATCCTTGGGAGGGCACCGTCCAGTCTCTAGCTGTGCCAGTCTTGTTCCGTTTGCACTCAGTCGTGGCGCTCCTCTGCCTTTGTCTTGAGTTCCAACATTGAGTGCTATGTACGCAATACGTGTTACCCTCTTCTCGGTGTAACATTTGGCTCACCTTGGAACCACTACCCGTCCTCTCCTCGACCCCGAATCCCGGACTAAAGAGAGTGAGCGAAAGGAAAAAGCAAAGGATACAACGTTATTGCGATTCCAGCGACTCGGTCCAGTCCCATGCCGATACCACGCCAAGCTTGGCCGTGCGAGGCAAAGGCGATTGGCTCAGTCAGAAAAGTCCGACTTGATCGTTTCGGATGGTCCCTTCGATTGGAAGGGGGGGCGCAGGGCCAAGTCGCATAGCATGCCTGTTTCAATCGCGTGGACAGTGCTCCTCTCTTCTGCTTCGTCTTCCTGTTCTACATTTTCGCCTTCATCTCCAGGAACGAGTACGGCTTGCAGGAATACGGGGGACCTTTACCCAAACAAGGTAATCGAAAGCCTCTCTTACCAAAAGCCTCACTCTCTTCCTTCTCGGTTTGGCCCCTCACCTGTTCAAACAAGCAGAGCCCTGGACTGTTCTCTACAAAATGAGTTAAGAATGGGGCATAGCACAGCATTAGAAGACGTCCCGTCTGGACGACCAGAGGAAAGACAAATTCAAACTGATTTGTCAAGAAGAACCATAACTTAACTTTGCCCCCCTGAACGCCCAACTTCAGCCCAAGTCGTTGCCGTTGCGTTCTTGAACCAAACATCGGGCTGTTCTGTTAAACTCACCCTTCTGTTCTGACCATCTTTTAACAGAGAGACGCACAGGCCTAAAACCTGACATAGACCACCAAATAAAAGGTGGTTAAAACAACCCAAAAGGGCCAATACAAGAAAACGGGAAACATCAAGTGCAAGAAACACAACAAGCAGCACCGCCACCTTTAGCCTTCGCCTTCAACGGCAGGCTTTGTTTCCGTTCCGCCGTCCGTGGAGGTGAGGCTCAAAATCAAGAAACCCTTCATTCAACCCATCTATCTTCCTACCATTCTACCACGCTAAAGATAGCTTTTGGTGATACAAACCCTTTTTACCGCCTGTTTAACGACATTGTCCTGCCTGCCATGAACCCAAGCGTCTTGTCCTGCTGCTGGCAGCACACGCCCGTCCCCCCCCCCCCCCCTCCTTATTTCTAAAACATTTGATAATGCACCGCCCGGTCATTCGAAGCGAATGCTGCACCGCTCGGGAGGAAGCGGCAATCTATGACAGCTAGGAACTGTGGCAGAGCAGCAGCGACTCTGCAGTTCTACATTCGGGTGGCAGTCTTCCGTGGCATCAGAACAGCAGTCAAGATGTGGGGTGATTAAACGGCTGATCAGCAGTCAAGATGTGGGGTGATTAAACGGCTGAAATAATACAACACGGGTCCCTAAAGAGTCTAAATCCCACCCATACTGTAGATCTGCCCCTCTGGGCAGAATGCACAGTTCCCGTGATGACGGACGCCACGGATGCCACGCAAAAGGGACCACATGGATAACGAGGCTCCAGCCAATGGGAAACACGGCCAACCTCTTCCATCATTCATCATCCATTTTCGGGCCGCGAGGGGCTCTCGTTCGCATTCGCTTACACGTCTCTGCATCGATGCCTGTCTGTAAGTCAACTTCCCACTTCAAACCTTGGCAAAGAACAGAATATACAGCGTCGAAAGATAGATCGCAATCAGCAGAATGATGTGATACCACTGCCTGCGTGTCCATCTGTCTGTCTCCCCATGTTAACCCAGCCACTTACACGCGATACACACCTCGCCACCCGCTTTCTCCGAGTGTATCATCACATTACTACCATCTGATGTTCTCCAAAAACTCCCATGATTCGTGATCCCGCTCTCGTACGCACGCGGCAGAAATAACACAACCACCCAAACTTCCGACGTCCTACGAGCAATGAGGTAGGTGCCCGCCGGAAATGCACCCCAGATACTTAACCATTCCCTCTTCCTCTTGCCCCTCTCCTCGCCTCCACTAACCCGCCATCATCCTGGAAGTCAAGGAAAACCCAAGCAAAACCTCCGAGAAGTCTGACTTCGTCGTCGTTCTCCTCGGGTCTCCTCCCCCTCTTCACACTCCTACTCCGCACCCGACGGGACAAGACCCGCCGGGATAACCCAAAACACCGAATCGGGCCAGGGCCTAACATCCACAGAACCGCAAAACGTAAACCGGGCACGACATTGCCGCCCCTCCGTCCCGACGGATTTCACACGGGCTACTGAGACCCCAAATTCCGTTCCGTGCCGTCCACATTGCATTCTTCGCCAAGTTCGTTTTCCAACGGCCAAAAGGGAAGTGTTCGCCGTCCATTCATTGCCTAGAAGCTAAGAGTTTGTATGTCAACCAAGTCCCGTGATGTCTCATATCAATACCTGTGTGCCTGCCTACTTTTGAGGTCAGCTATGGAAAACCTATGCCTTAATCCGCGTAGGCCAACAATTTCACCCATACACTTGGATTCTACAACGAGATAGTCAGAAAACGGAATATGAGTGGGATAGAGTCATGTATTCGTCCGCTCAACTAACTGGAACCAACTAGACTAGCTTGCTGTGTCGCTTCCGCCATGTGCGCGGTGTCGCATTGTTTGCGTATCGTGGCTTACAGGCCAACACCAAATAAGTGAGTGCCCCCCTGAAATGTGTTGATGATGTGTGCACTCAGGCTGGCCCCCCCAGTGGTCAGCCCTTAAAAGCAGTCAGATCCAACAGACCTCATGAATCCTACCGAGAGACTTTGGATCCTGAATCATGCCATCACGAAGATGACGATCCCTGATTCCCTGAAACGCCATGACCACCGAAAAAATAAAAGAAATAAACGCCGTGGTCGATCTGTGTAAAAGGTCATCCTGCATGCCGAACCGAGCCTTTCCACGAAAGAAAATTGCAGACTGGTTAGTGAAACTGTCCCCCATATCCAGTATACCAATTACGTTTCCACTGGCCACGCCGTCCACGCCTACGCTGTCCACAGCCGCCAAGTCCATGTTGACTTCCCTATTCCCGTACCCATGGGTTGGCTTGAAGCGACACACCATTCTCACCACCCATCATACGCCGATGGCTTTCGTCGGGTGCTGTTAGGTCTCCGATCCAAGGGCCCGGAAGGACTGCCGGCAGTGAGGTTCGGTTCGCGGGGTTCAGATATCCGTTCCCATGGAGCCCTTCAGGCACGCCAAGAGCGGTTGGCGCAGCTCCATTAGGGTGGCGTGCGAGTATCGGAACTCCCTGCGTCGAGGCGCTCCCGTTCTCTCCTTGACCTGCAAAGCCAGTCGCCTGATGATGGTGTTGATGCAGGTTGGAACCGGAAAACGACACCCGTGATATAGCACCGTGGTTCGTACGACTGGAGCCGTTGGATGCGAAAGCTCCACGAGGTGGGAGCAGAGCAGGAATTGCAGCATGCGCTCTCCTACTACTTTCGTATGCGCTGGATACTGGTCTGGGCCGGCTGCTGCTGAGTGTTGGTGACCCTGGCCCTTGAATACCAGTACGAGGTCGAATCCTACGCCGACTTTCACCGCTGTCTGTCGGGGGAGAGCGGCGTTCACCATGGCTAGATCCAGATCCTTGCGAGCGGTTTGAGTCGTCCTGCGCAAGACTGGCGTCCCTGTCTCGCATGTAGCCAGCGTAACCAGCAAGACCTCCAAGATTCACCTGACCACGATTGCGGTAGTACCGGTCAAAGTTTGGGTGTGTGGATGTGATCCTGGCTTCGTGCGGCACCTTATCTCTGCAGTAAGGGCAGCTGTCCGACTCCTCAAACCATTTCTTGATGCAGTGATCACCAAACACATGTTTGCATTTGGGCAGTCGCAGCGGAGCCTCCTTCACGCCCTCGGGTGTTTCTACACCGAATTCATTGTAGCAGATGACGCAGGCTGTCAAATCGTGTTAGTATTTTTTCTCTCATAATAGAGCCAGAATCCTTATAACTCACTTCTTTCGCTTTCTGATAGCTCGGTAATCGGAACGCTCTGAAGAGATTGGATAGCCGATGAAGACGCCACATATTTCGTGGTCACAGAGCCACGCATGAACTGAGCGGCCCGAACGTGGTCTTCTTCCAGAGTCATAATATGACGCGCCATTTGCGTTGGATTTCCAGCCAATGCTATGACCTGTTCGAGCGCGCTTCGGTCGGAATCGACATCACTGTCGGAAAGAGGGCTTTGTCTTCTGGACGCGCGCCGAATGGCAGGAACTCGACGTCGCTCTGGATGGTGATGCGAGCCCAAGCTGCTTGATGAGCTCGAGGCTCCAGAAGATGAGGCGCCTGTGATATTCCGGGCATCATTAGCAGATAGAGTCTCAGGTACAGGCAAACCCCACTCACCTGAATTAGGTTGATGAACGTCATGCGGCGGATTGGGGAAGGTTGCAGTGCTGCGGTGGAGAGCAGATGAAGGAGGAGCAGATCCAAACTGGATGCTGGCCCCAGAAGATGGTGCTTGATTTGTACCTCCAGTAGAGTCTGATGTCTCGATCTGGGGAGGATTCAGGGCTGCCACAAGGTGTTCTGAGCTAGTTTGTGCTACGGGAGGAGTTGATGTATTCACAGAGTGAGAAGCCGTGTTAAAGGCGTTGTGGCGAGGTGCAGCATTTTGCCCACCAAAGTTCCTCTCAGAGCTGGTGTAGAACGGCTGGCCTTGTGCCGGATGGCCTGCTGGTAGGGCTGTCGAAAGATTGAATCTCACCGGAGGGAGCTGCGTATGAGGGAACGACGGCTGCATGTTTGGAGGGCCTACCATCTCGCTTGGGGCTGCCCCTGAGTAGCCACCAGCCACATTGCCAAAGTTCGGAACAGGTACATGGTTGTAGTAAGGTGCCTCAGAGCCCGAGTTCGAAGGCCGGTGCTGGGGTGCCGGATGTCCCCGGTGGTTCATCATGTGGGGTTGGTGTTGCCAGTGATATGGCCCAGGTATCGGTGGCACTTGAGGCTGCCAATTTGGGTAATTCGCTGAAGAGTGAACAGGGTCGTAGTGCATTGTTGAGCGGTGCTGTGGCATCCCAGGGAGTTGCTGTTGGCCTTCTCTGTTGAGGAAATAAGGGCATCGTGGTCGCTGTTGTGCGTACGGATTCTGTGCCTGACCCTGAGGCTGCTCCGGATGATGGTATGCGTAATCCATGGCTTCGTCCATGCTGTAAATCCCTTCCACCGTTGCGTGAGGAAAGTCCTCTAGCCTGTCGCTGTGAAGCCGGCTTCTGAATTGTGGCTAGTATTGCCTCTGTTGGAGAATCACAGTCTCTCTTTCACCAAATAACTTGGCTCTTTTCTTTATTCCCCTCCTTGTTGTCGCTTGATTTCCCTGTTTGTATGCAGCTGCACGGCGTCGCTCGCTTGCTTCTTCTAAGCCCTTGTTCAATCGATCAGAAGGTGCGTTCGTCGTCGTACAAGCTGCCGGTGGTCGAGGCAAGCGGATCGTTCAAGTGAGAGGGCTCCGAAATGAACGTGGTCTGTTGGCAAGTCGTCGCAGACTGACTGGAGGAGGGGTAGATGCGGCCGAGTGGGCGAGTCTGGAGGTTTCGGAATGCGTTCAATTAAGAGTCGTCGCTGGTTTTATCAATGGGCGATAAAGAGTTTCCAAGGTCGGCTCGAAATGTTTTCTCCCCAGTAACCCATCGAGGTTTACCTTTTTTTGGTGCACAAGGTGCTCAAACTCCCAGCCTCAGTAGGGTGGTACCTGGGGTGGTCGAGGCGGAATGAAGTGTAAGAGTCGAGCGGGACGTGATGCGGCTGTGAGGTGAGGGGCGCTGCTGCTAAGACACTGGGATGGGCCGCTGGATCATGCCGCTTTCAGAAGTTAGTCGGATGTTCGCAAAAGAGCGGGATGCAGGCGTCTGTCTTGTTTGGCCGTAACAGGTAAGATGCAGTCTGGGTAAGGACGATGGAGTTTCATGCCGTGGGAATTTTTTAAAGAAAAAATGAGCGAGGAAAAACGACTGTTTGGCGTTCCTCGTAACGAACTGGTATTAAGAGCGGTCTGTGTCTCTTAATCTGCTTGTTCGCTCTTACTCTTGTCGCAGGGCGGTGATGGAGTAGGGATGAAAGGAGGAGCGTGTAAGAGGATTGTGCGTGGGAACCATTCAAGGCGGGGGATCGAGGCAGAGGGATGGGATACCTTATATGGATGTGGTGTGTATGAGTATCGTTGAGGATGACTACTCAGGAGGAGGCTAGGCAAGGTGAGATGGGCCAAGTAAGGCAGTGAAAGGAGCAGAGCGAGGGCGAAGGCAGCCTGTTCGTCTTCTTATTAGGTAGACGAAAAGAGGGGTGACGGTGACTCGATGGGTTTTGGTTTCTCTTGTGACAGGCTGCATACGTCGTGACGCCGATGTCGCCGAGCAAGGGATATTGGTCGATGGGGTTCGGGAGGGAGACGTTGGAAGGTAAGGTTGGGTTAGGTTCACGAGCGGTCGGTGGGCGGCGAAGAGTATCGGTGAGACGACGATGGCTCGGGAAGAGAGGAGGAAGTGGGAAGAAGAGACGAGAGACGGCCACCGGGGGTTGGAAAAGGGAAGGGAAGGCGCGGCAAGGAAAGAGGGGTGGGTAGGCAGTCTTGGGTTTTGTATCTCGTCGCAGGCAAGAAGGAAGGGAACCTTGGGGACACCAGACACCGGACACCAGACGCCAGACCGACAGACACCACCACTTATTGAGGCAAGGTGTATTAGTAGGGAGGCAAGAAAGGTCGGCTCGACAGGGCCATGGACGAGCGACGGAGAGACGAAGGAGGAGACACTCCAGCCAGGCAAGGTCTAAGAGACAATGGGAATGGGTGGAAGGGAACCGGAAAGGAAGACGAGGCGAGGTCCAGACAAGGCACCGGAAGCCAAAGCAAAAGCCCACCTTGGACCTCACCACCCCCAGAGGTATAAGTCAGGTATCTCGCTCACACTCACCTCACACTCGACCCTCACGAAGGACAGGCTTGGAACAAGACCAGTGATGGTGGAGCCCTTCGCAGAGAGTCCCACGCAATGACACCGGGACGGGGGGTGGACTAGCAAGAGCATACATACGTACACGTGCAGAAAGAGTGAGGGAAACCATGCAACAAGACGGGACCGAATTGGTAGACTGCACAATCAATACGGCTGGGCCGGGCTGGGGCTGGTTCGAACCGACCGGCGTTTACTTTACGGTACTGCTAGCCAGATATTGCTACCGCTACTCCTCCGATGATCCAAAGGGCAGTCCATGACCGGGGCCATGTTCCATGTCCAGAAAGTCATGTCGTTGCAGGGCAGAAAGGGCGGTAATTATGGGCTAGGTTGGATTGCTTTGCTCCAACAGGAATGGATTGGACCAGAGCGAACCAAAGACGACGAAGCAAAGTGCCGCAACGCAAAGCACAGCAGCAGAGCAGAGGCACACACACACACACACACACACACACACACACACACACACACACACACAACACGCAGCACACTGCACACAGAGCACTACTTTGTATCCGTACACACAGCACAACATTGGCAGGGCAGGCAAAAGCTGGGCGTGGCATGGCATGGCGCTGCACTCCCGCCAGGGAAGACGGCAGACAATAACCCAATGGGGGGTTCGGGTCAGGGAGCAAGGGCAGAAAAAAAGACCGGGACTCAGAAGACGATTTGCCGTGAGAGGAAGATACACGCTGGGGGTACGGTGCGGAAGTAAGTGTGAGAGTTAGAGACCACTGGGTGAGCGCCGAGCAAGAGACTTGCAGGGCCATGCGCATCCGCCGACCCAGTCCAGTTCCCAGCTGGGAGCCATTTTGTTTCCATTCAACGAGGGGCATTTGGGTTTGCATTTTGCCCTCATAATAATGCTATATCCGACTCGTCCATCGTTTGGCCCTCTCACCTCACCTCGGGACCCCACGAAGCCTTCCCTCCGGTGACCGAGTTGAGTGTACGGCCGGGTCCACTAAAAACAATGATAAGCAGTAAGAGTAAGCCAAACCGGGGCTGGAAAATACTGAATATTGGACGTGGCTGTCTGTCGGGAACAGCGACAGGATCAGTCTGGAAGGAAGAAATGACGGAAATTCGACCGCGTGGCCTAGTCCAGGCCGGGCGGGTGCTGATTGCTGGCGCTGCTCTGTTGGCAAAGATGTTTATTATCCATTGCTGCTTCGGGTGCCGGTCTACTACTACGGCGGAAATGTGCTGGATGACTGGGTACGGCTACCTTGTGCGATGCCCTCATTTTGTTCGCAGTGGTCTTTCCCACGTCAATGTTCCACATGTAAGCAGGCCCGGCCCTGGGGTATGCGTGGCTCCGTCTCTTTGGAGGGGCAAGCTATGCGACATGGACTGCGCTGGGCGAGGGTTAAATGAAAAGTCCCTTGTCGGGTGCTCATCAGGCATTGGAAGCGGAAGCTGGAAGCGGATGAAGAGGCAGAAAGAGAAAGGCCAAGACAAGTTCGGATCTGAGACTGAGAGTCAGTGAGCCACGAATACACCGTACTTGCGTGGGTATTCGTACCCTTTACTTCCCTTGCCCTTCCCTTGAGACTGAGGGTAACCTTTTGCAGCCTGCCTGGCACGCCTGGCTAGTGCCCCCGTCCGAGGTGAGCCACCAAAAGTGAGCGAGACGTGAGCAACCTTACCAGACATGGGTAGCGAGCGGGTGTGTTTGGGTCGTTGTTGGCTGTTCGGATCCCACGGGGGCGGGCGGGTGTCAGTCGGCGGCGGCAAGGCACCTTTCCTTTCCTAAACACTTTCAGAGGCGGCGAGGGAAGAGACGAATTGTGATACGCCAAAGACTGGGTCGACACCAGGTCACAAGCACCATCCTCAATGGCGGACGAGCGGTGGTTGATGGTGGCGGCGGTGGACAGGGAGAGGCTTGAGGATGTGCTGCAAGTTGCAGCTAGGTCTCGTCATTGCCAACAGGTGTCGCCTTTCTCTTGAACCATATATTGACCATTGCAGAAACCATGTAAGTTGGTATCCGCAGTTGACCATTTGTGGGCGGATCGATGCACAAGGGCGGTAGACTGAAAGTTTCCTTGCTCTCAAAGAACCATACATGATGGAGCCGGGGCCTCGAGAGCGTTGCGAAGAATGAAAGAGTCGGCAAAGAAAGAGCATCTTTTCCGTTCGTGACCACATCCATGATCAAACTGGGCTGGAGGCCTGAACAGATGGATGAAAATGAGGGGAGTCGCTGCTGCTGGAGGCTTGTAAAGTGAGATGTATCAGGAAAAGCGGGCGCTGACGGGAATGCAAGCGCACCGCATCGGCACATCAGCATATTGGCATCATAATCAGCATCAGCAGCCTCAGCAGTTTACTACAATTCGGAAGCGACGATATGCTGGCCTGCCGGAAACGTCTGAGCGTGGACAAATTCTCTTTCCGAGGTTCGTTACGCTGGAGTCTTCGCAATCCTGCCCATTGATCAGACTGACAGACGGAGCTGAGAACCCACTCACTTACCACTCCAGCTGTCCCCGCCCCCCCCCCCCCCCCCCCCCGCACCCCCCCCCCCCCCCCCCCCCCCCCCCCCCCCACCCCCCCCGGCCCCAGGGAGCGCCTGCGCCCCCCCCCCCTCACCCCCCCCCCTCCCCCCCCCCCCCCCCCCCCCCGAGGGAAATCCCAATAACTCCGCCGTGATTCCACCGGGCATCATCATGTCGTGACCGGGTCGTGAAAGGACGAAACCTTTCGGCCGTGGTGCGAAAGCGGTATGTATGTAAACGTCAACGACCGGGGGCCATGGGGTGTGTCAGTAGGTCGCAACGGCAGTCCTGGGCCCTGGCTTCAGTTGGTCAGCTCCATCTAAGTGTGAGTGAGGTGCTCACATGAACCACCTGAGCTCGGCCGGTCCAAGCAGGGCAATCAATAATACCACACACTCGCAATGTTCTTCGAAAGGTATCAAGTATCAACAAATACGGCCCAGCGCCCTTGCCACGGATGAATGACCTGTGAGGCTGTGTCTAGAAACGTTTCTCGTCACTCTGACCTGCGAGCTCCTCACAGCACACCTGGTAGGCTGGCGCTGGATCTCATGGCTGGCCCTGGTCATCACCTCAGTGGGCACAGCATGGCTTACTGGGCTTGCAGGATACTGGCATGATGATAGTGACGAGGGGTTGGCGACCCTGTAGGCTGTAAGGTAATCACTCACCAATTCACTCACCACTGC